ATGATCCCTATTTAAGAACTAGGAAGAAAATTTTTGAAAAAGGTCAGAAAAGATATTTCAAGTTGAGGGAATGGGAAAGAGAGACAGAGGCAGCATGTTACGGTGACTAGAAGTCCATCTATCGGAGAACAGGGACCAGGCACTCTGAGCCTTACCACCATGTAAGGCTGAGTGGGTCTTATCTTAAAGCTGCTGGATTATCTTTTTAAAAAAATAGTGGCATAACTACTTTTTTCTTTTTTTTTATTGAGACAAGAGTCTCACTTTGTTCCCTTGGGTAGAGTGCCATGGCGTCACAGTTCACAGCAACCTCAAACTCTTGAGTTCAAGCAATTCTTTTGCCTCAGCTTCCTGAGTATCTGGGACTACAGGCACCCACCACAACCACTGGCTATTTTTTGTTTTGGCAGACCCAGGCCAGGTTCAAACCCACCAGCCCTGATATATGTGGCTGGTGTCCTAACCACTGAGCTATGAGCACTTAGCCCATAACTACATTTTAATAATCATTTTGTAGGTATGAAGAATGGGTCAGAGCAGCTGATCAGAAGACTGTGGCAGTGACCCTGCTGCAGTGGTCTACAGCCAGCCTTGACTGTGAGGATGGGGCAGAAGAGAAAAATGGGCTCAGTCAATGGGCTAAGGAAAGACACAGAGCCACCCTAGCCTCTGGTGCAGGAGAGCTGGTGTGAGTGGGAGGTGGCTTGTGGAACTGAGGAGGACTGGACAAGCAAGATTAGAAAGAGGAAGAAGATGGGGATACAGAGCACAAATGAAAGGGTTCACCTCTGGGAAGAGGAGCCTTCTCCACCGTGAGCTATAAATACAACAGCAGGAAATTGAGGGCAGTCAACCTAAAGCCAGCTAGTTTTTCTGCAGCAGTAGAAAGGTAAGTCATCTGTTGAAAGCAAGGAAAGGGAATAAAGGAGGAGAATGAATGTTTGGAGAAGAGTATGAAAGATTCAAAATGTGTTTTTTAAAAACTAACTGACCAAGGAAACCCAGCTGTATTGCTGGGTTGTACTGAAGAGCTGGCTTAGACCAGTAGTCATAAATTTATAATGCCATCAATCTTAAAATAGATACTACTTAGGACAGTTACCGGTACTCGTACTGTTTGGTGACTAACCAAATAAAAGATCACTTACAAGTCTTTTGCGGATATACTGAATAATTTTAATAATCAAATTTATCAGCTAGAACTTTATGTAGGTGAAATGATTGATGATGTTATACATTAGATGTATTATATTCATTTGATCTGATCTCTGGATATGGAGAAAAAGCATGAGTCAAATTTGCTCACATGTGCAGGAAGATGGAACTCATTCTCCACAGAAGAAAACGACTCTGGGCAACTCAAGGGTGCTGTTGGGAGGCCTCTGGAGAGGAGTGAAGGGCACCCAACCAGGGCACTTCTCTGACCTCATACTACTAAAAATTAGCTTAAGAACACCTACATGTGGAAAGCACAAGACAACACAGAAGCCCTCACCGCTTGTCCTGGGTGTTGGATTTCTTAAACCATGTTTGCACAGATTCCTTGGGGTAAGATCGGGTTGGAAAGGCAAAGTAATGTGTGTGTCTAGAGAAGGGTCATTTTAGAAATGCCCAGGGACTCTCCACTCTCAGCTCTGTGACGCTACACATGTGCACACACGTACATAAGAATGCACACACACACACACGTACGAGCACATTCACACATGCACATGCATGGCACACATGCACAAGCAGATGTGCGTGCACACGCCCATGAGCACAAGCATGCACACACACGTGCAAACACACACTGCAGCCTCTAGAACAAGCACAGGGACAACTGCTGAATGTGTGGATGCATGAAATCCATTAGTTCTGATTTGACTTGAATTAATGTAATTCTCACAACTCTCTGAGAATGGTGTTTTAAATCTTTTTACACAAGTAAGAAAACTGAGACTTAAAGAGATAAGCTAGGCAGTAAACAGAAAGGTCCAGATTTTATTCAAGGTGTGTCTGACTCCAGGGTATCTCTGTTCCCGGAGACATCAGGCCTAAAGACACAGCCTTGAAGATACAAGCCCTGAAGACATCCTGCTTTGAAGCCTTGGTTCTGTTTTGTTTATTCTCTCACCTCCAGCTACTTCCACTAGTCACAATCCACAAAATTAAATTTAGTTGCTTATTGTTCTTACTTCATAAAAAAGTAAAATATGTGAAAACACTACACTGTACCCCATGTTTGCATTAATGTATACAGCTATTATTTAATAATAAAAAAAAGAAATCTATTTCAATTAAATTTTTGAATTGACTGACCAAAAAAAAGTAAAATATAGAAAAAGAAAAAATGTAAATTTAGACATACTTCCAAAATCTTATTACCCAGTTCTTAAATTAGCATTTATAATAAATATAAATACTTGTATTAAGTAACATCTTACTGCCTTAAAATGGTGCGCATATTGGTTATCTTTCTTTTTCTGTCTTTACAGTAGTTGTGAGAGGGAGCTCAGGACAAAGTCATTACCTGCCAAAGCCATGTGGCTGCTGCCCTGGGCTAGTGACTAGACAGGATCCACTGACAGAATCCTGCTGGCCCACACCTATTAGATCATCTGTGTTTGGGTTGTTTTTTCTGCTTTGTTGTTAAAACAGGTTCCGTTGAATGATTCATACTTCCTTCAAAACCAGGTGGTTGTATTAGACACATTTGGGCAGAAATATGTCCAGAGTATAAGATTGAATGATTTGAAGAGAGTCTTCTCTCCCACCACCTCTCTCCCTCAATCGTGGTAAGCAAAAAAACAAATGTCAGTGCTTCTTACTATCCAGTTTGTTTTCCATGAAAATAAAGAGTCTCTATCTCCCTGAAAACTGTTTTTGTCAGCCTGCTCCAGTGGGGGGCCTTGGTTTCATGACTATTCAATTTTTATTATTCTTCTGGTTGAATAGTCACAAATCAAGCCTATAACAGGAGGAAGAGGGTTACTCTCCAAAGAGGACTTATTTTTTTTGTATTTTTCATATAATGTGACACTACATTCCTTATTCTGACAACAGCTGCTCCTTAGCAGCACAGCTCAAGACCTATCTCGTCACTCCCTCAGGACCTGCAGCCCAAGTGATAACGCCTGCCATTGGTCCCCAGTGAGCAGTCCCTTTGCCTCATAACCATAATTTTGTGCCCTACCCCTCTTCGTGTAGGCTCATCACAGACATGCAGGAAGTCACTTCAGACTGAGTTCAGCTTTCCCATGACACTCCCCTGACTCAGCCCCAGCTCTGCTATGAAAGTCACAGGCACCCAGGCCTGCACTTCCCCATGAAGTCATTGGACATCCAAACAATACGTGTTGACAAAGTACTTGCCAGGTAGAAAGGCCTTACCCACATATTCCAGGAAATACAAAGATGTACAAGAAAAAGACTGCTTAGTTAGGGAAGAGTGATATAAATGAAAAATAAAAGATAACACTTAAAGTCCTAGAAAAATTAATAAAATTAATTTTTTTATCCATTAAAACATTTAAATCATTTAGCCCAATAAGACTCTAATTTATTCTGAGGAAAAACATAGCTGTAAGGTAAAAAAGAAAAAAAACTATGTTTGTGAACGTGGTCATTAAAAGAATCATCGACAGTAAAAAATAGAAAATGTCTAAATACTTCACAGTAGAAGATAAATTTCTTTATTTTATCATGAGTCCATTTAGCATAATATGATTCTCCCTTTAACATGCAGCCATTAAAATTATTAATAATTGATTAATCTAGATACTATATTTGTGAGTTTTAAGTTATATAAAACACAAAGTTATAAATGTATAGCTAGTAAAAATAAAAATTAGCAATAAGGGCATGCTTATGAAATAGCAGTAAGTGTAAAAAGCAAGTTATACACTAGGACATGACACAACTGTGTGTAAATGTACTTGAAGTTAACACGTGAAATGAAAACAGTTTTTTTAGACACCTTTGTTTAAAACTTTTAAAATATTATTTCACTTTATTTTACTAAAAAGAGCAATGGCAGAATGACAAGTGTGAGATACAGGGTCTAAAATTTGTATTTAGGAAGGGTAACAAAGAGCCACGTACTCCTGTTCTTACCGTCTGGTTGCTCATCATGTAGAATATGTGTGCCTCGTTGCACATCTCAAGTTGCAGTCTTGCGATAACTTTATTAACCATCATCTGTCAGCGGTGCTGGATAAGCCCAGTTCAGTGTGAAGAGTCCCCTGAGGCTCCCTGACTCTGCCTCCCACTTTGTCAGTCTACACTGAGGCGCCTGGAGGACTAAGTGGGTTTTTTTTTTTCCTTAAGGCACACAATTTATTGGTGAAAAAGGTGAAACTAGTGTTTACATTTCAGCACCCAATCTAATTCTATTAGAGAGTCCCCAGTCACTGCTGCTTTGGGGCAGAGAGGGTATGCCCCACCTGCCTCCACTGTGCTGGCCCATTTTCTTGGGCTCTGCTTTGCCTGCAAACCCTGCCCACACCCCCGTTTTCCTCAGTCCACCTTCCTTCTGGCAGCAGTCTGCTAGGAGGCTTTTTCCAAAAGACAGTATTTGGGAAAAGACGAGGTGCCTTCCAGTTCCCACCATTCTGTTTCCTGTCCACTGTTTATGCACCTGCTAGTTCCTGCTCTTATTCACATATTATGAGGAAAACAGTACCTTCCACAGACTGGGTAATTCAAGGTAGTTCCCATTAGTGTATGGAAAGTATGTTCCAAAAGGTCCTGGCTTGCTGTGACAATATAATAACTTGGGCAAAAGTATCACATTCTCTTGAATTAAAAATGCGAAGTAGTTGCAGAATTTCATAAAATACCTGCCACCCACAATTGTATGTAATCACAGTTTACCAGAATACACAAAATTTTTACTGATTTGTGAAGTTTCCTGTCTGTTTCTGATTCATTCAAGTCATACTATTGGTTCAAGTCCATCCCTTCAGACTTGTTCAGCAAGTTGGGTTTTAATTATATGGGATTTCCTCCTTTGTCTTCAGCTACAGATCACACATAACACATGAGAGTCATTCATTTGAGTGGGACACTGGAAGCAGTTGGACAGACGGGGAAAAAGACCTCTTCATTAAGGATTAAAATGTACAGGTAAGTCCTGTTTTTGGTTCTCAGCTCTAAAAAATTTACCGTATCTTAGAGCACTTAACACATGAAGAATAGACAAAAGCTTAAATTCTGGACATATCTGGCAAGCTTCTAGTTATTTCTCTGAAAACTTTATTGAAATACTTAGATATTATTTAGGTAATATTGATTAGATAAGGCACTTGGCTGCTTGGCTAAATTTTTTGCATAATGAATACTCTAAAAGGATGGCTTATCATTAGTCGACATACCTTAAATAAGGAAGTATTTTTGTTTCTCATGTTTAACTTCTCAAAAAATGATTTCTGGATTTTTTAAATGTAATCAGTAAACAATTTTTCTGTTGTTTGAAAACTTGTTGAAGATTCTTCATCTTAATTTTCACCACAGTCTCATTACTAGCTATGAAATACACCCTGAATCCTTACATCCATCTTAATAAGGTAAAGACAGTATTTCACTAACTTTTATATAGTTGTAGAATTGTTATTTTCAAGAAAAGTCTTGATAATACTTAACAAAAAATAGTATTTGTCCAGTTTTATCATTAATTAACAATTATTTCCATGTACTTTTCCATAAAAAACAGCAAACTGTGATATAACTATAGTCAAATATTACAATCTTAATTAAAACAGTGAAAATCATTACATAATTTGATGTGTTTACATGTGCATTTGAATATGTACACTGTACATATTGTTTCATTATCAACACAGAAAAATATGATGATAATGTTGAAAATGTAGTGATATTGAAAATAAAAACATGGACAATGCATTGGCTATCATAAGTGCAGTTGAATTTAAGCCTCTCGAACACTGAAAAAATCAAAAGTCAAACCATTTCAAATAACAAAAATATATGTACAATCATGTGCATTTGATATATATTTCAAAAAGCAGCTATAGACTCAGTTCCCAACAATAGAAGAAAATAAAATAAAGTGCTCTCATATTCATACAATCAATATGAGAAATTCATTAAGTAGTTTAAAAACTAGGAAGTTATTTATATATTATGTTCTCATTTGATATGATAAAAGCAGATCACAAAATTATATTTACTCATCAACTATAACTATGTAAAACTATACATGTGAAAAAGACTAGTGAAAAGCTAATAAGGTTTGTTGTATTAAATTGGTGACCTTATGAATTATATTTTCCCATTATTCCCAAGCTTTCTATGACAGTGTAATAGTGCATTGGAATCATAAAACATTTTAAAATGTATTTTGCTAAACAATTTTAATTTTAAAGAAATTTCACTAATGTTTTAACAATTTATTCTCTTATAAAGCAGCTAAATGTATATAAAAATGTTATTCACAGGGAAATAAAGGAAGACATAAATGGGGCAAATAATGAAAGATATGTACCTTTTCAAAATGGTTTGAATTGGTCTAATCTCTGACCGTGTCTGTCATGCACAGGAACTTTGACACTCAATTACAGCCAATCTTGCCAATTCCTTTCTAGAGACCGTAGGAATATTTTACCTCTTAGGCTATCTTTATTACTTATAATTAGTAACAGGGTATCTGAATCAGGGAGGTGAAAGGAAATGGAATTATATAATCTATTTTTTAAGTAAGTCTAAGTAGTTTTTGTATAATTTTAGATAAATCTACAGATAATTCTGAAATACCTTTGGCTGAGAATAGGCTGTCTTGGGTGGTTTGTTTGCTTCTATATAAAAGTTAAACTCCCAGACTTTTCCAAGTTGTCCTCTCCTGAAGTTTGCAAAGGTGGAGTATTCCTGTTCTCTCCTTTTTAAAGAAGAAAATCCTACCACAGGGTCAGGGACCAGGGCAGCCATTCACTCATGTCAGATTCTTGGGCATTTCCAATTCTCTTGGGTCCACCAAGATTACAAAAAAAGTATGAGGTGAGGTTGGGGAAATATAATTAAGATATATACTGAAATTCAGAATGTGGTTTGGGGAAAGATTTAGGGTGAATGAGCATATCAGGAACAGGCAAGTCCTAGCAGGTTCCTCCCACCTAACAAATCTTGTTTCCATTCACTGCCCTTTTGTCTGTGCTCATATGATGAACTGATGACAGGGATGCGTCAAAGCAATCAGATGCCTCCCAACAGCCCAAAAGACCATGAGACAAAGGGGGGGAAGCCATCACTGTCAAAAATGCATCCCAAACTCTGCCTGTTGTTTAGTCCTGGATTTTGAATTGATATTTTAACTTCCCCAAACCATGCTTAAAATTGTAAATTATTATGCAAAAACATATGTCTTAATAGAATTTATGCAGCTGGGGTCAATTTGTCTTTGTAGACATGGAGAACTAAAATAGTGCATTTAAACAAGTTTTTGCATAAAAATCCTGGGCTGCATGCTAGAACGATGGCCACATCTGGCATAAATGTCTTCCTAAGGGTGGCCTGCATTATGATACATGAGAGCAGCAACCAGTCCTTGGGGGCACATATTTTCTAGCAAATTCCCACCATTTGCTGCTAACTTGTCCTTCAGAAGATGCCTACAAGCCAGTTCCTCAGAAACACCTTAGTTTCCTGACTCTCATGCCATGCAATCTCCACAATTGTTGGCACCTGAGATACATCCTGAGGCAGAGACTCAGTGTCTGCTGCTGTAAGGAAACTTAAAGTCATTTGGTCCAAATTCCTTAAAAGGTATTGCTACAACTTGAAGGACTCCATTCTTTTGAACAGAGAAAATTTCAGTTTTTGAGGCACCTCCACAATTATATACTGTCCCGTAACTGACCTCTCTCCACCTTGTCCAATGTAACTTACCTAGACTTTTCAGTTTTATCACTCATGGATACATAGCTAAAAACATACATATTATACACATACATACACACATACATACATATGTACACACACATATTTACATAGGTACATACATACGTTTATGTGTGTGTATGTATGTGTGTAGTTTACGTATGTATGTGTAGTTTAGTTCATGCTAAACTACATAGCAAACGTATGTGTGTGTAGTTTAGTCATGCTCACAGCTACATGGCATTCCATTGTAGAAGTCCTCAATAACTTAAAGATCTACTCTTCTGGTATTCTTCCAGAACACAGAATGCAGCTCTGCACATTCTAGAACAGGTCAAATGGTGCAAACAGGCAAGGGTTTCTCCTGGGCCTGTTGCTGCAGATGGACTTTCTGGGTCACATGGTATACAAGCATTTTTGTCTTTAGCCTATTATCTCTTTTCTGGTTACAAAAAGGCTCTTGTCTCCGTGGTCCTGAAATAGTTCTGTCTTGCTCTCACTGATCCTCCACATTGCAAATGCAGCGACCAGGGCTTGGGCATGCTTTCCCCCACCCACAGCAGACCATTCTTTCCTTGAGACACGAGCTTTGCAAACCCTCAAAGTACCATTCTCTTCTAGTTTTTCTCCTACTTGACTGCTCAAACTTTCCTATTTAACAGTTTCTCTTACTAGATCCTTCTTATTTTCCTGCCCTCCAAAATTTGAGGGTTTCGAAGCACCCCCCCCTTCTGTAGTTCCACGTGCGTTCTGTATAATCCGTCCAGACCCATAGCTTTCAACACTGTACAAGCCACTGGTTCCCTAGGATGGATAGTCACTCCAGTCCACAATTGTTCACTAGAAAACACAAAATGCTCTTGCTTGAGTTACCTTTAATGTCACGCGGCAAAATAAAGCACTTTGAGGCCAAGTACAGTGATTCATGCCTCTAACTCCTGCACTCTAGGAGGCTGAAGCAGGAGAATCCCTTGAGCTCAGGAGTTCCAGACCAGCCTGAGCAAGAGTGAGACCCTGTCTCTACTAAAAATAGAAGAAAAAACAAGCAAACTACCTGGACGCTGTGGTGGGTGCCTATAGTCCCAGCTACTAAGAAAGCTGAGGCAGGAGGATTGTTTGAAGTTTCTGTGAGCTATGATGATGCCATGGCACTCTACCCAGGGTGACAGAGTGACACTAGGTTTCAAGGAAGGAAGGAGAAACTACTTGAATTCTACCCACCCAATTACTTTATTTGTAACTCTTTTCATGATATTTATCCTACGACCTTTATTAGATTTTTTTCATTCATTGTTCAGTCAGGGAGCAAATACCTAATTTCTGCGTATCTGATCTATAGGAATTACGTTAGGTGCCAACATGCAGATTTGGAACAGAAAGACCTGGACCTTGTCCTTATGTTGCCTATTGGGAAGACACTAAAAATAATTAAATAAGAAATTTCCCATCTGTTTATATGTAGTTGCCATCAGTGCTATGAAGAAAAGTGTAAGAGCTTTGATTAATTAAGATAAATGGAAGCAACTGTCATTGCAAATATTTATTCTGTGGAAATCTCAACAGAGCCAAGATTTTACTTTATCTTTATTTTACTTTACTTATCTTTACTAAAACCCACAACCTCCCTGGTGAAAAGGCAAACCATATTGCCGATTAACATAAAAATAATTTCATTTTGATTTAATAAGATGACACTGAAATAAGTATGATAATAGAATGAATTAAACCACTCTAGGTGTTGATGAGAGGCTTAGGAATTATTATTTCAGCAGGAACTTAAATGCAAGCAGGAATCAGATAGCGCTGGTCCTTGAAAAGCACATAAAGGATGTGGCATTATACCCTCAGAGAAATGCAGAGCTGGTGAAGACTTGAGGAGGGTGAGACGTTATATTAGGAGCTTTAAAAGATCATGCTGACTTGTTATGGAGATTTATCCTTGTGGAGAGGGAAGTTTCCATCCATGAAGGGAGAGCAGCTGGAAGATGTTCAATGTTTCAGAGAGGGAGAAGGGGGTGGGAGGAAAGCACTGCAGGTACGGACAGCTCAGTGATGCTGCGTGGGGGCACGGCATTCATCAGGACTTGGGGTGAGGGCTGTGCCAAGTGTGATTTCTAGGTGTTCCATATGAGTCAGTTGGTGAATGCTGGTGCCATCTACTGAGAAAGAAAATGCCACAAAAGAGCCTATTTGCCAGGACAAGGGAGGGTCAAGAGATTCAGAAAGGAGAAGAT